TAATAATTTAAAGAAACAATTTGTTCCTATTTTTTCGTTAAGGGCAAATATGTTTCTACTTTTCTATTTGAGAGGTGAATTTAAGGGTTTGGTAAAAAAAAAAAGACAACCAAAAACTCCATATAAATATTTTTTGAATAGTTATAACTTAAAATATAAAACTAATTTAAGTTGTCTTTTTGGTCCCACCTAAAAGCCATAATCTTGAGGGACCAAAATTGAAAGGGCGTTCTCTCAATTGAGGAGGGGAGTTTTAAGGCTGTTAAAGAGTCGAGTTGAGTTGAGTAATTAGGTACGCATGTTTGAGCTCATATTAAAAATTCAAGATTGAGTTGAGCTTGAGTATTTATTGAACCCAAAATAATTGCGTTCATACTCAAATTCACAAGTATTTCAATAAGCTCTAGTTAAGAGGTACTTTAATTTGAATTTGAGTTTTTTTTTTTTTTCTATAATTTTAAAATATTTCAATAACTAATTATTTAACCATAAACTTGTTTTACATTTTTCAAAAATATGAGAGTACCAAAAACTTAAATATATTAAGTCCAATAATAAAAAGGTTAAACCACCAATTTGGTGATGAACTATCGTACGGACCCCCGATTTGGTCTATGAATTAAAAAAATCCTTGATTTGGTCCCTAAACTATTGTACAAAACCCCAATTTGGTCCCTACTATTTAATGATTTAACCCCAAGTTGGTTCTTCTGTATAAAAATAGCTAACGTGTTTGTTATTTAATAGCAAAAACAGTTACTTAACGGCCATGTGTTACGTTAATAACGAGATATGTTAGCTGTTTTTTGTACATAAGGACCAACTTGGGGCAAATTGCTAAATAGTAGGGACCCAATCGAGGTCCGTACAATGGTTCAAGGACCAAATTGAGGATTTAACTTAAAAAAAAAATGCATAACCACCAAATCTGCATCTCAAATAGGAAGACAAGGACAGATTTGCCCTAAAAAGAAGTAGGGACAAGTTACCCCTCCAAATTATCAATCAAGACAAATCACTTATAATTTAATATGTGACCACAAGTTTAGAAAATACAAACCATATGAAAAATTATTAAATGATGTAACTATCGTAAAATTTACAGTAATATAAATTTATCTTAACTCGTTTGGTTGATATGAAAAGTTAAATAATAGACTTGATGGCTTTAAACAGAGCACAAAGATGCTATTTAGCAGCTGAGCTGCCTTGAAAAACTCTTATCTTTCATATTATAGGCCAACAAACAAGGGTCTTATATGCCAATAATATAAATAACTCAATAGTAATCTTTTTTTAGTTGAAATAGAAGGTTCTAATTTTGACATACAGCACGTAGGTGAGGTAGGTTGAGAAATAGAAAATTGTTACCTCCAATTATGAAAACTAAGATATATAATAATAATAATAATAATAATAAAACCTCCCATAAAGAGGCGCTTTTTTTTTACATTAAATAAAAGTGCACTTTCATCCCTCTAAAAAATGAATCACCTTCATCTTTTTACTTTAGAAAATGAGACTTCTTTTTTATAGTTATTAGTGTATTTTTTGATTTAATGTACTGTATAATACACTTATTAAAAATCATTATTTTTTGGCTTGAAATTAAAGATAATTAGACTTAAAAATGTAATTACACATATAAGATGCAAAAACCGACTAAATCCACTATAGTTATATATATTATAATTGAATGGCTAAATAAAAACATGTCAAAAAATATGTTGATGAAATGAATATGTATCAATCATTTTCTTTTTTTTTTTTCTCTTTTTTTGGTTTTCCTTTTTCTTACAAAGCTGCGTCTTCCTTCAATCCAATGGCCAATCCTACCATAACAAAAAGCCATGTAAAATCCCATTTTGTTTCGAAAATAGTTGTGGACAAACTTGAAGACCACGCAATTGAATAGTCAAAAATTAAAAGAAAATAACAATCAATAACTTCTATTTAATATATATGAGTGTGATTTTTTAGTTTTTGGTTTTCAATTTTAATAGTTAAAATTTAAATAATTAAAATTAAAAATTAAAAATATCAAGTTATTTGGTAGAAGTTTACTAGAACTAATAGTAAAAAGTTCAAACTTAGTTATTTTATAAAATTTTTTATTTTCAATTTAAGAGTTCCTAAATTTTTAAAAATTATGATTAAAAATCAATAATCACAACCATAGTAAATACAATATAAAATTTTTCCTCGCAAGATTTGAGGTAGTGGATTGATCAACTTTATCTTTCTCTAGTCATCCTAATATTTATTTTATTTCAATTTTCATGGATTTTTGCCAATTCCCCAAAAACATCCTACTGTTTGTTTTTGGTAAGAAAACTACACTCTTTTGCTCCCTTTGTTTGAAAATAACAGTTAATTTTTTAAAAGTTTTATATAGATTAATAATTTTGAAACAGTTTATATATTTACTTATATTGCACTTAAAAAAAAAGAGATAGATATTTAATTTTAAGAATAATTAAAGTTATGTAATAATCAAGGTCAGAGGTTGAAAACCTTTTGCTACCAAGTAACTAGGTTCTCTAATGTACGAATGTACCAAAAAAAAGTTGAGTGATAATCACATGGTTAAAGTAAAAAAATATATTTGTTAATAAAAAAATAACAATTAATTTGAAACAAATTTTGAATAAAAGAGACGAT